AACGCCGAGTCCCCGACACGTCTCGGCTCCCCCCCCCCCCCCCCCCCCCCCCCGTCCCGTCGGCTACAGAAGCGAGTCACCCGTTTCGGGTAAGATTTCTAGGAAAGCCGGGCCGTCTGCATTGCATACGAAAGGGCCTGCCGGTGACAATTCCAGTCAAATATGTTTGCCGGCAAATAATTACCAAGGACTGGTAAACTGGTTTGGGATGAAAACGGGTGAAAGTGCCCTCCTTTTTGAATCATCAAAACAATTCACTGCACGCACTTCTTAAGGATTGCAACGTCGTCCCGAGCTAAAACCCGCACTCACAAGAATGCCGCTCGAGTGGTCTCGTACCTGCTCCGGCCCAGACTTTTGCCTGCCGCAAATACCATGTTGCCGGTGATCGTTGCCCACCTCTTTGGATCGTCAAAACAGTTCGCTGCACGTACTTTTTGCAGAATTGCAACGTCATTTCAAGCTAAAACACGCACTCGCGAGAATGCCGCTGCATTGGCGGCCGCCATTACAAACACAGTCCCCCTGCTCGTCTTGGCTTCCATGACTTCAGCCGCCCCCCTTGCGTCGGCTTCCAGTGATGTTCGGTGTCCGGCAAACGAGAGTGGCTTCCGGTAAGATTTCAGCGGCGGGCAATCGAAAGTGGTTCCAGTATAACTCCCAGCAAAAGTGGCTACGCTGGTTTCTGGTAAAAATGAGTGGAAATTAACCCGTTTCCGCCGAATGTCACGGGAAGTTTTTGCCGGATTTTAACCGTAAGTGTCTCCGGTGAAAGGTCCAGTGAAATCTGGTTACTGGAAGTGGCGGCCGGTAATGTTTCAACCAAAAAACTGGTAAACTACGCTGGTTTGTGGTGAAAATGAGTGGAAATTAACCCGTTTCCGCCGAATGTCACGGGAAGTTTTTGCCGGATTTTAACCGAAAGTGTCTCCGGTAAAAGGTCCAGCGAAATCCGGTTACTGGAAGTGGCGGCCGGTAATATCTCCACCAAAAAACTGGTAAACTACGCTGGTTTCTGGTGAAAATTGAGTGGAAATTAACCCGTTTCCGCCGATTGTCACGGGAAGTTTTTGCCGGATTTTAACCGTAATTGTCTCCGGTAAAAGGTCCAGCGAAATCTGGTTACTGGAAGTGGCGGCCGGTAATATTTCCTCCAAAAAACTGGTAAACTACTCTGGTTTCTGGTGAAAATGAGTGGAAATTAACCGGCTTCCACCGAATGTCACTGGAAGTTTTCGCCGGATTTTTCAATAGGGACGGCATAGCGTCCCTACTGAAAAAACCCATTTGGCGCCTATATGAAAATAAACGGGTTCATACCGGTAGCAGTTTAACCATACCGGTCACCAGTTTGTCAAAGGGGTCGCCCGTATGGTTCAAAGGGGTCCCCCGTATGAGCCATAACGGTCACCTATTTGGACAAACAGGTCACTCCTTTGGCAAACGGGCCGCTCGTATGGCCAAATGGGTCGCTCGTTTGGGCAAATGAGTGACTCGTTTGGGCAAAGTTTTCGCACGTTTGCTCGAACCGGTGACCATGTTGCAAAATGCACCGGTTTAATCAAACGGCTCTCCGGAGCTCGTTTGATACTGAACGTACAGATCGGCGGCGTGGGCACGCCTAGCGTTTCAGCCGTGGCAGCCAATATTTCCGGAAGGCTGGGAGCGCCGGTTCATCGATTTCAGATCGTCCGCGTAATGCAAGTAATTATATTTATATTTCAATTGCGCTGATGTTCGCTTATACTGCAACTAAAACTAACATCTTTTTTTTTGTTGTTGTTTTACGTAAACGCGCGACGTTGGTAAGCCGATGTTTTCGACAGAACTTTGAGACTTTGTCCATCTTTGCTGCCTCAATTTACTTATTCAGCTCGAATCTCTCTCGCAGAAGACGCGACCACGTGAAAGAATGTACGTCTAGACTCCGTTTCACTTTAATTCAAGACGCAGCGAAGGTAGCACGCGTACACGCGGCTGCAAGAACATCGAGCATTGCGAGAGCACGCCCGCCGATGCAGCAGTCAAACTACACTGTAGTCAAACTACGAGCTCCCGCAGAGTGCTTTCTTCGCTCGGGCGCAAGCCGAGCTTTTGGCCGCCCCGCCGCCATTTCCAAGATTCAAGCGTGCTAAAAGGCGCGCGCGCGCGCGCGCGTGCGTGTTTTTTTTTTTTTTTCGAGCTCACAAAAACACATCTCTCTGGAATGCCTGGGGAGAGGGAGAGGGGCTATCCCTGTGGTCCTCGCCCCCTCCCTCCTCTCTTGTCACCCGTCACGTGACCCGCACCCCCGCGCGAGCTACACGCTGATAAGCATCGAGATCCGGAAGGGTGCGCCTAGCAGCCGCTTTTTTCTTTGTCTGCTTGTTGTCAGTTCCAGCTCGAACTTAGCGCGTCCACCTGCTTCGATCTGTCGCCTAACCCTGCGGTCTTATTAGGATGTCTCTCGACAACGTATTGGATGTGCACCAAAGCTATCAGTGTTCGAAAAGTCCTACGTCTATACAGGTTTGCAAGTTCGGCTTCAGGGCGCTGCCATCTTGCTCGCTGGGGTGCGCTTGGACGCGTCCTAATCCGATTACGAAGCCTTGCTAAGGTGACATAATCGGACTATGGCCGCGCCCAAGCGCACCCCATTGGGCAAGATGGCGGCGCCCTGAGACCGGACTTGCAAACGTGTATATCGGCAACAAGCGATTCTTCGATGAAGTCAGGAAGTCTTGCGGTTTGGTTGGGTTCGGCAACTGACAGCTTGTGCGCCACACCGTGTTGAAACTTCCAAGAAGCCGTTCCCTCTCATTTGTGTTTGTGTGATTGTCCTGCTTTGACCGTGTCGACAACTATTACAACTTACACCTTTCAAGTCCGCTATTTTTATGGTAAGTGCACCGCAACCTACTTCTTGGCAACGATTGACCGTTCTTCTACTCATACTCTTCCAGATTATCTATATAGTTATGCAGCCACTATTCTCGCGGCAGCCGGACGAATAATTTCCCGAAAGTTTACCTTCGATCATAGTCTAGAATTACCTCGGTTCTTGTTTGGTTTGCTATCTTCTCAGTTGTATAAAAGCTTAGAGTGCCTCTCACATTTCACAGATCGCTTGCACGTTTGTACTTGTCTACAGAAGACGTAATAAACTTTGAGGAGAATAAAAAAAAATCGATTGTGTCTGTTTTTCTGTCCATCTGCAAGCACCTACGTGAGCACATTTGTTCTACGTGTTTCCTCCCTGTTATAAATAGGTTTATGAGTTTCGGAACGTCTTAAATAAGTTTAATATAACCAACCTACCAGACGATCCCCGTTTACGGCTAGCGCATAATTTCCCGATTCGAATGGCACGTCCAAACGTGTGGTCACGTGCAAGATCGAACGGGCACCTGTATCAAACGGGCAACCGTATCAAACGGGCACCTGTATCAAATGGGTACCGTTTCGAGCGGGTACCGTTTCAAACGGCTACCCGTATCCCATAATCACGTTTGATCCAAACGGGTCGACAAGTTTGCACCCTTTTGATTTACCAGTTTGCCACCCGCTTGAATTTCAAATGGTTTTTTTCAGTAGGGGCATAATGAAGAAGTTGGTTCCAGCACTAGCCCGTCATGCGGAGAGGTCAATACGGTAAGTGGCAGCATATTTATACCCTTTGTGGCGTTTAACTGGGCTATAATAAAGTCCTTGATTTCTGAGCAGAACCTATGGGCGCAAGTGAGCTGGTGCGTGTCTAGATACACATGGCTAGATGACAAGATACACAGCCATCTGCTTCAAACTAGATGGCAATGCAACTAGATGTCGGAGCAACTTTTTTTTTTCTCAGTCAAAGTATTTGTAGCTTTTTACAAGCCACTAAAAATGGGTAACATATTTCTTTTCTATCTTTAATATTCAGTGTGTTCCTGCGATGACCCACGACTTCAATTATATTAGGTGGTTGTGTCTAAACTACCGAAAACTGCACGTGACCAGGTCCAGGAGAAGAGAGTGATCGCAACTCAAACCGGCCAGTTCTCGATCAGCTGTTTTAAGGGCGGAAAGAAAACGAATTTCGAGCCTCAAAACGTTTTCTGGGCAGTTGGACTCACGTACGACATGTGCAAATAAAAACCTTGGCGAGAAAAATACCCTGTCAGTATCTCTTTATGATTGCCGACGCACGCTATTGTAAAGGCCCGTTGACACACTTGCTAACGAGTATACGACCGAGTGAGACAAGACCGATTTTTAAGTGTTTTGCAATGGCGTAAAACCAGATTCTCTGCTGCAGAGCAGTTCCAAAGCTGTAGAAAAAGTCAGACCGGTCTCTTCTCAGCCGGTCCTACTCGGTTGCAAGTGTGTGAACGGGCCTTTAGTGTATGAGTGACGAGAGCGATGCTTGCAGATTCGGAAAGCGTTAGAGCATCCATAATTGTAAATCTTCAATAGTTTCGCAATCAGATACATACATGAAAAGTAATACAAAAATGGGCGATCGCATAGCCCTACAAACCAAATGCTATGTTTCTCCTCTCAGGCACCAATGTGAATGTGTTGTAATTCCTATTAAGAAGGAACAACTTTTGACCAATATACAGTTTCTAATTTGTTCTTCCCTTTGTACAATGTTAGAAAATGCATTCATTTACGAGTGCTCGCGATTTCTCGAGCTCATACCTATCGATAATTTAAACAACGACGAATGAAACATTTTGTAGATTTCCCACAAGAGAGATTAATTTTAAAAGGGGAACACAGAATGGATATACTTTGGTATTTCAAAACAGTAATTGGGCGTATTTGTGAAAGTGCTTTTTGGAAGTCTCCACAAAGTGGGTAAATGTGACAATCTAACAACGATTTGACAGCACAGATTCCATTGCAAACAACAAATATTTTAATGCAGGTGACCAAATGAATTCATAATGGAACAGCGCGAATTATTGCAAGGACAGGAGAGGGAACTGGACAGGACGAGCGCTGCCCACTCGCCCAGTTATCCTGTTTACTGACCAAATGAAACTGAGGCGGCTGAGGTGCAGCAGCAGTTCCTAGAAGTGGCGGGCTTCCCTTCCGCTGTGGGTGCTTTGGATGGTTCGCACTTTCGGATTCAAGATCCGTCTGACCTCAAAGCAGCGTGCGTCAACCGCCATGGCTACCACTCCATCAACGTGCAGCTGGTGGTGGGCGCTACATACCAAATTCGCCATGCGATAGTAAGGCGGCCTGTTAGTGAAAACGACTCCAAGGTCTTCCAGAAAAGCGCCCTTCTCGGAAAGTTAGCCAATTGAACCTACGACAGTTGCTGCTACGTGACAGCGGATATGCGTGCGAGCCATGGCTCATGACACCCTTCCTGGTGTCCTCGTGATTGCCGGAGGAAGAGTACAACAAAGCTCACATCACAACCAGGTGTATCGTGGAAAGGTAAGCAGATACATTAGCATGATTTTGGCCATTATTGCCATCTAAGTGGTTCAAACTCTTTATATCTTAATCCCACAGTCATTCTCAATCATCTGTCAGACATTTGGTAGGATAAATGCAGACAGAAAGGCAGCGAAGTATATCTAATATGACTGTGAAAAATGCAAACAATTGGTGACGGCACTTAATAAATAAAAATGAAACCTTTAAATAATTTAGTCTTCTTCTTCTGCCCTGCATCCTGCTTAAACTTGGCTAAAAGTGGGCTTCATCAACTAAAAAAGTGAGCATTACATTCATTTCCGCATTTATTACAACATAGCTTTTAGCTGAAAAGTTATTTTTGCTATTTATGGCGCAGAATGCTATAGAAAGAAATCAGTTTTTTGCTTCCAATTATCATAATTTTTAGTCTTTTCACATATATTGAAGATAATCTAAGAGGGTAAGAAGTTTGTATATGACAAACTAAATATAGTTTTTTTGTGCCAAAAGTGCAGGGGGTGCCATTAGTGCATTCTCCAAAAGTCAATTTGGCTTTGGTACAACGATGCGATGAGCAATAAGGAGGACCCTTAAAATAAAAGGTTGGCCCCTGTAGCTCATTATTCATACTGCTGCATCCGGCCAGTTTTGGAGAACCATTGGCCAACTGAAACTACAATTTCACTTTCTGCACGCTGAGCTCCGGTGCTACTGAAGAAATGCAGCAACATCGTGGCTGCCTGCTGCGTCATCCACAACCTTTCCAGGTGGTTTCCATGCAGCCTCCCCAGGACTTTCCCTGCCAAGTGATGTTCCCACTGACCCCATAGAAGCAATACGGCAAGACAGCTTGGGCAGCCGAGCTACAATTGTGGCCCGGTTTTTTCTCATAAATGTAAGTGTAATTATCCCATATTGCGTGACAGGTACTCGTTGACATCATGTTCTAAAGTAAAGGATTCACCTTTGTTATTTAAAGTTGTTAGCTATACCTCTTTTGCATGTTGCATTTCGGCGTTGTCTCAAAGAGAAGAGTAGGATGGTGACAAGAGGATAAAAATAACAGCATTTTTATTTGTATACTGAACGACTACAAGATACTGCATCAAACATAACACCAAAGTAACATTGCCGAAAAAGTTCTAAAATTATACCACAGTGTGTTTGTTTCATTTGACAGTTATATCTGGCAGCAAGTCACGTACCATTGCCATACCCATAATAAATGCTGCCACTGCGAAAAAAAAAAAATCTTTTTTGTTAGTTCTCGTGTATATCTCCAAGCTTCTTATTCGAAATTCAACCTTGATATTTTTTTAGTTTAAATAGCTCTGCCTCTCCTGCACTAACGATACGCTACGCAATCGCAAGCTCGTCGTAATATTTCTTTGCCGCCATGGCGGCTGTGATTACTACTTGAGCGGCGTCCAGTGCCCTCTTGGCGACTACTCTGTTTAACTTTATGCTGTCTACTTCATTTTCTTGCAGTTCCTCCCTTCGCCGCTAGAAACAATGCGCAGTCGACCTGCACCATCGATTTGGTCAGACGCCTGGAGGAGAGAGAGGCTCGTTTGTCCCAAAGCCAAGGTTTCTGGGGTGGCCCCCTTCCTACCTTGCAGCCCGTTCGTCCAGTGACAGCAGAACGTCACCAGAGCAAATACTGTACAGAACCTGGTTGATGCTGATTTTAGTCGAGTGCTAAAAAGGCACACATTTTCCGTTGTTACAAAATTTCACAGTTTCCGGCAGCCCATCTTTGTGTTAGGTATTTTTACGCAGTATAGGTAGAAGTGGTAACGCCTTATCCAATTTGCAGTCCTGTGCAGCCTGTTTATAGTGAAGCCAGTGTCATTTGAAAATCATCTTTTAATTATCCGAAACTTCACTCTACCTTCACCTCGAATACATTTGGTTCCTGTGAAAAAGCAAATATTAAACATTACTTAACTATATTCATATCGTCTTTATGCTATGTACGGCTAGAGTTTTTTTTTTTAGCATGTGTAAGTAACAAGCATATATTTTTGGTTGAATTAACTGCCTGTTCTTTGTGCTTTTTCACAGTTTACATGCATTTACACACCATAAGAGAGCAAACAGCCTTTTTGCAAGCTTTCTACAAATTCAATTCAAATTCTCCTGTTTTGCCACAGCGACCGTGCAGTCATAAAATAAAACTCTTCTCATCTGTTGATTTAAAAAGTTTATGTCCACCACCTTCCCAAATGAAAAATATTTTATGACATTCGGTTTCTGCTGTTTTCCTGCTGGTTTCCGAGTTAAGAAAATGAAGAAAACACGGAAGATTACGTAAAAAATTCCAAATAAACACTTTCATATGATAAGTTCCACTGTGCATTCCGAAATTTAGGCCTTATTCATAAAATATTACTGAAATATATAGACATATTGGCCACTGGGCCTTAGTGAGCAGCTTGATTTTAGTGAAGACTGAAGCAATGATAGTTGCATACTCTTCGGTGTCGCCGAAAATGACGTCATCCAGATCAATCAAATTCGGTGAGTCCTCTTCAATGACGTCAAGCACAGCCTGGAAGATGGGCGTCACTACATGCGGGTCGGTTGGGGCCAGCACCTGCTGAGTTAAGGCATAAGAGTGTTCTAAATGTAAAGACAACAGTCCTTGACAGGTCAAGAGCGAAGGGAGAGGAAAATGAAAAGTGTGGAAAAAAGGAAGCAAGCGAAACGCTACAGAGGGAGGCGGAAACCTCCTCTCCTCTCTAGCGCCCCCTGATTCCTCTTCCCCACCCTTCTTTCCTCTCTCCCTTCATTCTTGACCTTTCACCGAGCATAGTTTTCTCCCAGTGAACTCAACACGTCTTTTGCTAGTACTCCACATATTCCACTATATTAGAGTGCCTGCGGTGAAGCGTAAGAAGCAAACTAAATTAGCATGGGTTTGTTAGTCACTCCGCTGGGTATCTGAGTTTATATCCTACACTTGTTGGTAGTACCAAGTTTTTTTTTTTTTGGAATACTCTGTTTTACCGCTGGTTCAAGCACTATTCTTTGTCAGAATATAGACAAGGCCCTATGAGCTCAATAAAAGTATGGGGTGAGTAGTTCTGACTCACTAGTTCGTTGTTCATGCGCTCGGAAAAGCGCATACATGCATCTGGCTTTCTTCAACAAGTTCCGCCATGCCTCCTGCAGCTGCCGTGCACTCCGCGGAAAACTTATGTCGTTGACGATATCTTCCCATGCCTGTATCTTCGTTCGCCAGGTACTGTGCTGCTGAATTTCTCTAGAATTCGTTGTTTTCGTTTTCCAATTGCTCTAAATAATTATATTGGTGGATCCAAAGTCAGTTTAGGTGTTTGCGCTTCGGAGATGATTTGCGATGTCGATGCCTGATTAATTTTGGCATTCGGTTGTGGTCATCAGTTATTTTAACTAAAATTCACCAAGTAATGTGTTAATATTAGAAAACGATTGGCATAACAAAACTTGAAATGTAAAAATGTAACGTTTATTACATTCCATGCAAGTAAAAGTATGATCTCTTTTATTTTGATTTTACGACTTTCTCACACGTTTGACTTGCTGCATTGCCTGTAAGAATGCGCTTAATTAATGCATCCACGGCTGCTAGTTTTCTTTTTTTTGTGTGTGTGTGTGTTGAGTTTTTTGGTTTCTTTTTAACACAACTGCAGCGTGTATTTGTACTAAATAGGCGCCTTCCGTTATTGAAGAGTCGTAGCAAGAGCGTTTTATGTTAAAGGAGCTATGCAACAATTTTTGTGCTTTGCGCAAATACCGCTTAAAGCGGATCCCTAACGTTAATGACCTACGAAACACGCGTTCGTTTTTCACTACACGCAATAGAAGTCCCAGAAAAAAATTAAAGAAATGCGAGCAGCGTTAACCCCCTCACCTCGCAGCCAGAACAAGCGGCCACGTGATCTGGAGCCGATTATATGCCGCCAGTGTTGATCATAGCCACGCGCTGGGGTTGGCATTATTTCACTTCATCATTACCATAGCAGGCCAGGTTATTGCCACATTAGATTCAACTGTGTCCTTTTCTAAAGCATCGACCTTTGTAGAGGATCGACAACTACCGTTTCAGTTGCTCGGCATTTCGGTAAGACAAGAGAAGGTCAGCAATGGCGGCTGTAATTTGGCGCGTGTGTAAAGCGTCTATATGCCGCCAGTGTTGATCATAGCCACGCGCTGGGGTTGGCAAAGCGCAGGACACGCGCTGAGTTCCAGACAGTAGGGAATTGTAGTAGACCGTTTTTCTCCTCCGCTACGGTATCCCCGAAGAAAACGCCGCAGCTGCGCATGCGCGCCGCCAGCCTTGTCTGCATAGTTCAAGGTCTTGTGGCGGATTAACGAGCGCTATCCGGGTGCTTAGCGGGCTGCGGAAACGCTCTACTACAATTCCCCATTGTTACGGCTCGGCTACTGTCGTCGTTGCAGCGATTGGACACGGGTCACAACGCGAATGCTTCTCGAGCTAGCAATTGTCACGAGCCCAAGTCGAGTGCCCACGCAATGCTCGGGTCCAATCTATGAACCGCATTAAAATATAGTCACTTGGGTGTACTGCGATCCCCGAGTTACGTCATCAAATTTTGCAAAGGAGACTGAATGAAAATGATCGATTTTGTCCTTGAAATTACACCGCAACAAAGGCGTTTCTTGGCCAGCGGCGACGCGTGCGAGTGTCCTTGAGTCCCACTAGTGCCAGTAAGCTCGTGTAGAGAGAAAAACGTTCCAATTGAATATCGTTGCACAGCTCCTTTAAAAAAAAAAAAAAAAAAAAAAAAAAAACATACCGATGTTGTCAATTTGGTTTCCTTTCAGTGAACATTATGAAACGATTGTATTAGCGCTTTAACGTGGTTTTATCTCAGTTCCCTTTTAATGCACATTATGAAACTATTGTATTAGCGCGTTAACTTGGCTTGATCTTTGTTTTTCTTTTTTTCGTCCGGTGTGTTTACTCAACAGGGTGATAACAGTAAAAACAGTGTAAAGTGCAGCAGTGCAAGTGGATGATTTTGATGATTTCTGACAGAGTCACAGTTAAAAAGTAAGAGACACGCGCAAAATATAATTAGAAAAAACGTTCCCAGCGGAATATGAACCCAGAACGTTCACGCCGCGACCACAAGCCCCGGCGCTCTTACCACTCGGCTACAGTAGAAGGCTGAGACTCCGATGCTGGCGCAGTTATATAAATATATTGCCCCAGCTTTTGTCTCTCGTAACTTTTTTTTATTTTGGCTCATATTTATCTTCCCTCACCGTAGCTTTAGTTTCCGCTTCTAAACAAAGAAACTGTGGTTGATTGAACTCCAGTTGGAAGCCTCTGGGGTCAGTTTCTGCGAGCGAAATTAAAAGTTTGTGCTCGTAGAAGCACGAATTTCTCAGCCATTAGCCAGGAACGCTCGGTACTTTCTTGTCCCCATGGAGCTGGTCACATAACAAAACAGTCCCTCTTGGCTGCGGATGAGCAAACCGCCCCAGGGGCCAGAAAAGGAGTGTACGTGGAGCCCCCGATGGCACGAGCAAGAACAGCAGGTACAAGATCGAGCACGAGGCACCACCAAGAATCTAAAATTCTCTATACTGGAAAAAGTGGTGCCATTCAATTGTTGTGGGAATGCTCGAGACACGTGCTGCGCACACTTCTGGGAAGAAGATGGCGTCTGAAATCTAGCTCAGTGCTGCGCCGTCCCGCCATGATCTTCCAAAGAGCTGCACGTTTCACATGCCTCGTGCATCGACGCACCTTGCGCTACTTTTAAAACACGAAGGGGCTTTACAAGAAACAATATTAGGGCGACTACAGGGACACTTCTCGCGCTCTACGAAATGGCGCCACGATGGGAAAATAGTTTCCAAACTAACCCACTTGAGGAACGTTGGTTACAACTATGCTGCTGAATCCAAAGCTCCTAAAACGAATTTTTCAAACCAGAGCACGTAAATGAAAATTTCCTAAAGCACGTCTCTCCAGAACGTACCAGCTGCCGCCTTAATCGCAAATCCCTTGGTGTGGTCGATTGCAGCTTTATTTTTTGCCTTGGTACATTTCACGCTTTATTAGCATGCCGCTATCTTGATCAGGAAGTCCGGATCCCCAATCACGTTCTTCATGTACAAAGACACAGAATCTGCACGCCAATATCCAGCAGCGTATGACATATTCGTCCCACTTTCGCAGCTCTTCGATTCGTCTTCAAATTGGAGCCCAAATAATGCCACGCCGAGCGAAAGGGTGCGATACAACTTCGAGCTCGAACATATCTGGAAGAAACCAAGGTTAGCTGTAACGAAACACGCCGCCATTCACAAAGACAATATGCAAATCAAAACCTAAAACTGCAATTTGGTTTCTGCTTTTAATAAATTTTGAGCCGAAAATATGCCTCATAACACATACTTCATGAGAAATCCGCCATGTAGAAGCATGACGTCACTTTTTCCGCATTTATCACCAGTCACTTAGAAAATCGAAAAAAAAGTGAAAGCCGTTTACAACTCGCTGTAACGCCGAATTAAAGCGCATATCTTGAGGAGAAAAAGGATGGAAGGGTACTGAGGTGAGGGTTCACGTGACCTAGGGGGGGGGGGGGCGTTTAAATGCTGCGCTATAAGAAACACTCTTACTCTAATTTATTTAACGTGGAGAGCCTAAAAAAGCCGATATATCACGGAAACGTATAAACAGTGTTCTTAATATGTCCTATACATCAAACAAAATTGAAAGCACAAACCATAACGACGAAATATTGAGTGGTTCAAATTTGGCAAATGCATTTAACAGCTATTTCGTGAATATAGCTAATAGCTCTTACAATCCTGAAGCGTCAGATCAGACTAGGTCAATTGCGGAATCACTATTTACCTACCATGCTGATGAAGCTGAGGTTTGAATTTCTATTTTGCCTCATAATAATAATCACGGTCGTGATGCCGATGATTTGCAAATTAAACCTATAAAGTATGTGATAGATATCATTGCCCCATGTCTAACAGACATATTCAACCTCGCATTATGATATGGCACTTTTCCCCAAGAAATGAAAGCTGCATAA